CTCAGCATTGCACACCCATGTCCAGACGGTTAAACACTCACTAAAGATGTGCTGGGGGGAAGCGTGAATAAATGGTTGCCATATTGTGTAGGGTAACTTGTATAACAGAAAGACCCAAAACACGATGTCGTGGACTTAGTAAAAGCTATGTCTGCTGTGGCAATCTAGAGCAGGAGTGGAGGGATTGCTCCATACAGTTTTTAGGGCCCCAGGCCAACTCCCTATCTGCCTTCTTCAGCAGGTAGCTTCCCTTCCCGGCACTCTGGTGGTTTTCATCTCCATTCCACCTCACAGGGAGTGAGAGAGTGAATGTTAAGGCTTATACCTGGTGGGTTAGTTTAAGGACCACGTCTGGGAGCCACGCACATTGCTTCTCATACCATGCTGGAGGCCAGTCGGTCTCTTGGCCATCCCCCACTGTGGAGGAGCCAGGGGATGTGTTCTTGCCAGGCATGTGGCTGTGCTGTCCTGTGGACAAAACCAGTTTGGTTCAGCGGATAGAGCATTGGCCTGCAGACTGAAAGGTCCCAGGTTCCATTCCAGTCAAGGGCATGTACATTGGTTGCGGGCACATCCCCAGTAGGGGGTGTGCAGAAGGCAGCTGGTCCATGTTTCTCTCTCATCGATGTTTCTAGCTTTCTATCCTTCTCCCTTCCTCTTTGTAAAAATTCAATAAAATATATTTATTTAAAAAAAAAAAAAAAAAAGGTGGAATTGGGTGGACAGCTAGCAAGCTCTTCCAGAGGCATCTCTTGCAGTGCCAGTAGTTATTTTTTAATATAGGTTAATTTGTACAGTTTTAAGCAGTAAAGTGTACAAAAGGGTACACAAAGAGATTCAAATCTGCCATTCATCATTTGTTAATGAGAAAAATCAAATATTCTCCTCCTAGAGCTCAAAGTTAGAATAATGAGCCTGTTTTGACTAGCAGCATTCCATGCAGCCTTCAGACTGAGCTGTTTGTATATGAGAAAAGGCTTTTTTTTTTTCTTGGAGTCCTCTATAAAGGCTTTGTCAGCATTCTACAGTTTTAGAAGACAAATTTGTTTTTGCTCCAAGTGGTTTCATGTGCTTCAGTGGTCAAACAGGTTTTGAGCCCTAGCTTCAATGCCAAAACAAAACTGGGGGTAAGAATTGAAAATAAAGTCCACAGCCTAAAGCTTTTTTAGAGGCTCTTGCTCTTTTTAAATTTGGGGTTCTATTATAATTTAAAAGTGTAGTTCTTAAATAACACTTCCTTCTGGCACTCAAAAATTGTTCATAGAAATTATGTCATAGCAAATGTATTTGTTCTGAAAGTCACTCGTAGGACTTAGATGAGACAAAATTTTCTGCATTGTAAGTGAGGCTTTACCTGACTTAAAAAAAATATACAACTCAAGAAGCAGTTTCATTATAATTATAAAGCCATACTCTGTTCTTTGCTATTTCTTAAAAGATTACAACTTTAGAAGGAATATTAAAAGTTAATGCAATAAAACATTTTTTGTAAAAATTCTATTAACTATAATAAATGAAAATATTAATGAACTAGTCTCATCACACCCAGAGAAGTTTTATACATAAGACAGTTCAACACCTTCAAAAGGCATTGAGCCAGTATTTTCTCATAAAACAAGTACTAATAACAACAGAACATTTGGAAGTCCTGAGTATATTTCTCATACAACGGAAACATTCTACCGTATTTTCCAGCGTATAAGACGACTTTTGAAATGAAAAAAAGTCAACCGAAAATCGGGGGCAAAAGACCAAAATTGCACAAAAATTACCTGCAGATCTTGACGGCAAAGTAAGTCTTTTCTTTGAAGTGAGGGGAAGTCTTATACAGCGAATATAGGCCTAAACCTATGTTTTAACTGTAAAATTAGGAGGTCGTCTTATACGCTGGAAAATACGGTATATTTCAGCCTTTATTTTGACCTGTACAATACTTTCTTCCCTTTCCCCACCTCAGGGAAGTGGAGGAATTGCGAGATTATCTCTTATCTTAATTTGACCTCTCTAAATCCTAGGCAAGAATGGAAGTCAGAATTTATAAAACATTTTGCTCCCAGGGAAATAGGTATTCTTGTTAATGCATTCATAGATCTTTACTACCCTTGTTTGTTTCGTTCTGAAAAAAAAAAAAAAAAAAAAAAAAAAATGAGGTAGGTTGCCAGTTGTAACACATTCTTCACATGTTCCTGTTTCCAAAAGGTATAGGAGGGCAATCCAACCACCTTAGCAAAGGAACACTGTGTACTTGCATGCTGCTTTGTAAAAGCAGACCATGAATATTCAACAGTCTCAAATGTGCGGAGGATGGCATGAAAGCTGGAATTCTTATAAAGCTTTAGGGGGAGGACTACTGAACAATATGGAAAGTCACCATTTGTCAGTTACATCAATAAAAACTCAGGTCCTTGGGGAGTTCTTAAACATTTGGATCACTTTTTAAAAAGTGGAGAGGGGGAGGGAGCTGAAGAAGTTACTATTTGTTTTATCCCTAGAGATCAGCTAAACTTTCTCACATTTTCAACTGCTTCTTGTAAAGCTTCCTATTGTGTAACACACCTATCTATACTTTCATATATATTTTTTAATTTTATATATATATATATATATATATATATATAAATCTATTCAGTTATATATTGGTTCTTTCTGTATATTAGCTTTGTAGGAAAAAAATCAATCTTCTGACATCATCTAATGGAAGTATCTTTATATTTATGTAATGCTATTATGGTTTATCTCCTGTTCTCCCTTTCTGAATATTTTTAGCCTTAACCTAATGATTTGTATGTCTTTGGAAATAGTCATTTGCATATTATAATAAATGTATGTCATTAACACTGTTCTAAAATGATCTCGTTATGCTTTCTCTAAGAATTCATGTTTCAGAACTTTAAGAAAACCTAATACTATTGCACTAGATCTTACACTAAAGATTTTGATAATCTAATAAAGATTACCTATGAGAACGAACAAAGATTCTTTGTCATAGATACATCACTTTTTATCAGGAAGATCACATCCAGGTAAGAAGAGCAATTCTGCTTTGGTTAAATGAGAGCCATTTTAAAGAGGCTTCTTATAACCTAAACTACTTAAGCTTTAGAGGTATAAAAATGGGAATATAATTGTTGTCATCATTTTTTTACAGTTCTCAGATTTATTCTAAAATTATCTAACGATGTCAATTTTCTAAGCATATAAATCCTTGTTCAGTAGCAAACACAAACACTATGTCTTTTCAGTTCCTGGGAAATCTTCTTAACTGTGGACAAATAGTAGTAAAATATTGTCCTTGGGGATTTCATAGTTTAAGAAAGAATAACAATATCATCAAGAACAACAACTAATATTCATTAAGTATATTAGGTATTATTCTAGCACTTTAATTGTATTATATCATTTAATCTCCTGGCCACCCCTGTGTCGAGTAAGGTTGCATCTCCATTTTCCAGATGGGCAAATTGAGGGTCAAGTAGGGTCATATATTTGGTAAATGATAAAGCTAGGCTTCAAACCCAAACATTCTGACTCCAGAGCCACCATTATAACTATTATATTATGCTGTTTCCCTTTGTTTCTATTCTTTAATGAAGCCTATGATTTTAAACTTCAAGAATTGAAGACAAGCTGGCCAAATCAACATAAAAGGAAAATAATTCATCCATTTACCAAGTCAAATATTCATTTTCTATCCTAATTATATGTTGTTATTGTTTTGGAGATTTTCAATATAGTCAGTTTCATGGGATTATTGTAATCCTTAATCACATTTACTTTGTAAAGAATTTTTCATAATGGAAGGTTATCAATACGTAGGTGAATACATGTTGCTTTAATATATGTGTTGGTTGTTTCAGTGATACAGAATAGGTGAATTATGTTGCATGACCTTCATTTCAGATAAGAATCTTTGAGTTTAATGGTATTTGAATTCATGTCTCTAAGGCAGCTATTATATATACATATATATATATATATATATATATATATATATATATATATATATATGGGGGTTTTTTGTTTTTGTTTTGTTTTTACAGAGAGGAAGTGAGAGAAATAGAGAGCTAGAAGCATTGATGAGAGAGAAACATCGATCAGTGCCTCCTGCACACCTCCCACTGGGGATGTGCCCGCAACCTTCACTCGAATCGAGCCTGGGACCTTTCAGTCCACAGGCTGATGCTCTATCCACTGAGCCAAACTGGTTTCGGCAGCAGCTATGTTTTTGAGTCTGCTAAATGTAAACGTGCTCGTTTGCTTATTTATGTTCTTCCTTCATGGGGAATGCTTACTTATTCTGTGCTCAGTCATCCAAATTGTTTGTAGAAAGCATTGGCTGGTATTCACAGAGGCAGTCAAAAAATCTTGCAGATATCCTTCCTGATAAGCATTAAGCCCTCCTGGTCATCATGAAATACTAGGTGCCATTCAAAGGAAGTTTCCCATTTGTATTTGTTATCTTAGCAGATATAAAGATTAACATTAAACATTGCAGAAAGGTTCTTAAGATAACCCCATTTCTTTTTATGGATATATTACAGCGTAGGTATATATTACCCTATTGGCAATATGTGTGATAAAGTTGTTAAATAAAGAGTGAGTGTTCCATCAGTTTCTGATCAGTTTCAAGGTCAGATTCCTCTATTCTAGTTCTAATGCCATCCTCATATTCTGACAACCTGGGTTTTGCTATGTTTAGTTATAAAATGTGGAGAGTACCTAACAAGCACATTATAGGACAAAATGTCCATTCCTATGATGCTGTCAGATATCTCTGTTAAAGAAATGATGAAATTTAATATGCACTTTTATGCAAGCAGTGTATAATAATAAACTGTCATAATTTTACTAGTTTTAACAAACATAGAAATGCAAGGGCAAGAATTAGTTATATCTACATATTATATACTACTCTTCTTTAAAACAGAAAGATTACGGAGTATGCTGCTGTATATTTCTTACCATTTCTACTGGGCAACCAATGATTTGTTTTGTTACAGAATATGGAAAGTCTCAACTCCAAACCATCTCATGAGAGGGCTAGACCTGATAATATTGAACTGATGTCCGATGACAGGTAATTTTAGAATTTTCTGCTCATATTTTTCTGAGTTTGAATAGGTATTTTGTTTTGTTTTTACTTAATGCAATGTGCATTGTAAGAACTAAAATGAATAGAATTAATGGACTGTATGTTTACCAACAGTATTTTATAGCAATGGAAATACTTAGAATAAAAAAAATCTGCACTGCTGCTATTAAAACCAAATGCCATATTCATGTTTGTATTTCTACTTTTGTTTTGTTTTTATTACTTTGTTGTTTTCTTTTGGGTTTGAATTTTATAGGAATTTTATTTAGAGCTACTCAGCCTACTTTTAAAGTAAATTATAATTTCAATGGGTGAAAAAATATTGTTATAAAACAGATTGAGACTTCATGACACTTTTTTGTTATTGTTTTTAGCAAAGAAAATGAAAAAGACAGTGGCCACAGCCAGCATTTTGAGGTAAGTAGCTAACAAGTGAGACTGTGACTGTGACAAACTTTTTGTATATTCCTGAGAGTACAGGGAAGCATTGTTAGCCTGTCAGTAAGGGGTAATAAGATTAAGGGTCAGAACTGTCATTGGTTAGAAAGATAAATATGAGGACATAAATATTACTTGAGAAAACGTAAGAACGCCATTCTTTCACGTTTTTCAATTCTTGGATTTTTACTTGCACAATAAACTTCAATATTGGAGATTTCTCTTTAGTTTTTTTCTTAAAAATAAAATAAAACATTGCCTGGCTGGCATGGCTCAATGATTGACCTGTGAACTGGGAGGTCCCAGTTCGGTTCCCAATCTGGGCACATGCCCAGGTTGTGGGCTCAGTCTCTGTGAGGAGTGTGCAGGAGGCAGTCGATCCAGGATTTTCTCTCATCATTAATGTTTCTATTTCTCTCTTCCTCTCCCTTCCTCTCTGAAATATATATATATATATAAAATAAAACAAAACATCAATGCTACTGGTTGGGTTTTCCATGATTTTATGCATTGTTGCGTGATTGAAACAGCCAGTGAGTTTTAGTGGCGCTCTCACGGGGATTATGTCGTTAATTTTCAGATTAACACAAAATCAGTTTGAGTTATTAAATCCCATTCATTTTCTGAGTTTTGTGTCTTATTTTAAGTAAACAAGATGGAAAAAATATCTCACTCCATATGTTGTCTATGTCTTAAAGTTTTGGCGACTTGCCTGGCTTCCCTGCTGTCCTCGGAGGGCATCGCCAGGCTGGCCTGAGTATGTGGTTCCCTTGCTCCCAACTCTGGCCTTCTTTCCATGTGCTCAGCTTCATTTTTCATTTGTGTGTGTATGCCGTCTGCTACTGCCTCGTGCTTCCAACTCCACCTTCCTTCTTACAGTGTTTTCTTTTTGGCCAGAGTTAAAGCTTTTCTCAACCTGGAATCTACCCTTGATATATTAATTATACATAGAACTCTCTTTCTAACCCAATGATTCCTAATCTTTGTTGGGCACGGACCTAATTCGGTGATGGGTTTATTCAAGAACTTATATGAAGCCCTACTTTGTGCAGGTACTGGGCTAGGAGCTGAGGTTCAAAAGCAGCTGCAGCCCCTGCCTCCATAGAGTTTTATAATCAAGCAGATTACAAATCTAAAAGCTGTGGGCCCTTCATATAAAAATGCAGATTCCTGTAAAAGTTGCCATAAAAATGCTGGAAACTAATGGCTGTGGACTCCTCATATTCCTCTAGTTGTTCTTGTCCTGGGTACCTCTAAATTAACCCAGTCCACTAAGAGTATAGGGGAATGCTTCCTCTTTCTGACTTCACAAATGGCCTCTTTCTGTGCCATCTCTTTCATCTCTTCTTTCCAGCTGCCTTCCTTGGGACCTACACAACAAGCTGACATTCTTTTCTTGTCCCTAAGAACCTTTTTTTCAGCGCATAGTTTCCCCAGGATATCGTTGTTTTGTTTTCTTCTGGATTTATCCTTCCTCTGCTCTCTTCCTCTGATCACAGCAAGCACCTACTTATCATGCCAGTGAACGTTATTTTAAAGAAAATTGCTTTGCCAGCCTCCTGGAGAGTCTTCTCAGTTCTTCCCTCGTGTGCCTGTTATTCTTTATGCGCTCAAAGGGTGCAGGGCCATCACACGTCAACCTTTATGGATGTCAACTTCATAACATTAACTCATAAATCCCACCTGGCACGCAAACTTAACTCACCCTGGACTCCGTTTGCCTTGGTATTTCTGTGGCTGGCTCCTGTGGCCGTGGCTGCATCATGGGGAGAGAATCTCAAATCCTTTTTTACGTGCCAGGACCTATTTTTATATGTGCCACCCATGTGCAGTTAGTAATCAGCACCTAGCCCACTGTGGGCACTCCTTAAGCATTCACTATTAATAATCATGCTCATCATCATAATTTAGCTAGGAGATAAAAGTATGCAGTGAGTTAAAATCTAGATTAAGCTCTTGTGTCACCTTTCACAAATAACCAGAGGAGGAAAAAAGACATCACCCCACAAGATGTGGGATTGTCATTCTACCCATGGAGGCACATGCCTCTTGCACTGACGGAAATGCATCATTATTGAAGGGCTGTGAAAGCTCCATCTTCCATTTTAAAACCTCTTTCCCTTGTTTGTAATGTGATCGTTTACTTTCTAATATATGTGACACTTTCTAGAACATTATACAGCTGAAATAGTTAATGTAATTTTCTGGTGATACCACAATAATTTCTAAATTTCAGCGATGAAAAATAAATCTAGACTTTGGTAAATGCTCCTCAAATTCTGTTGAGCCAATATTTTATTTCAGGTCTCCTATAGTATCAGATTGAGATGCCAAAATCGAGATAATAGTGTTTCCAGTTTAATTTTCCGTTAAGGCAAATTTTTTAAAATAGGTTTTATTGATTTGTGTGTGTGTGAGAGAGAGAGAGTGAAAGAAACATCAATGTGAGAGGAAAACATCAATCAGTTGCCTTGTACGTACACTGACAGAGAATTGAACCAGCAACCTAAAGGTGCATGGGATGACTCTCAACAAACTGAGCCACACCAGCCAGGGCCATTAAGGCAAATTTGTCTTCGTTAATATTATTATCTATTAAATTCGCCTTGTAAACTCTTATTTTCATGCAAGATAAAGCAAGTGACACCTGTTAGGGAGAGGTGGTTTGTCTCTTGTTCTGACCTGTATTTATTTCCATTAGAATGAGGAGCCCTAACCTTCAGCCTCAATTGCTCTATAAAGAGAGGCTTGTCTCAGAGTCTGCTTCTCCAAGGCAAATGCAGATGCAACTGCAACTATATTTTTTAAGTAATCATTTTGCAGCCTTAAATGTGGTTTTGTTTGAACGAATGTGTTGAAAAGTAAAAATGGGCTTATCCTTGTATTTTTATCTTTTCAATTTCTTATAGTTATGCTACTTATCTTATGCAGAGTCTGCTGCAATCTCAAATGGTGAATGAGAGTTATATATTTATTATATTAATAAAATTTTCTATTTCATCTGAGTTTCTTCTTTTTAAAAATTTTATTGATTGATTTTAGAGGGAGAGAGATGAGAGAGAGAGAAAGGGAAACATCAATTTGTTGCTCCACTTATTTATGCATGCATTGGTTGCTGCTTGTATGTTCTCTCACCAGGGATCTTACCCAAAACCTTGGTGTGTTGGGACAAGGCTCTAACCAAATGAGCTACCCAGTTTCTTAAATGGTTTATCTGAGTTTCTTAAATGGTTTGTACTAAAATCTGTTTAGTGACATATTGATAATGAAACACAAAGTTGAGTCACTTCAAAATGCCGACACTGTAAGTATGACTTATTTGGGTATATTCTTTTGTTTATTTATTTTATTTATTTTTTATTTTATAATTTTTTAAAATATATTTTTATTGATTTTTTTTTTTTACAGAGAGGAAGGGAGAGGGATAAATAGTTAGGAACATCGATGAGAGAGAAACATTGATCAGCTGCCTTCTGCACACCTACTACTGGGGATGTACCCACAACCAAGGTACATGCCCTTCACTGGAATCAAACCTGGGACCTTTCGGTCCACAGGCTGACGCTGAGCCAAACTGGTTTCGGCTATTTTATATATTTTTTTTATTGTTGACAGTAGTACAGATGTCCTCTCCTCCCCCCCCCTTCTTTTTGCCGCCCTCCACCAACCCCCTGCCCCACCCCAGGCCTTCATCACATTATTGTCTTTCATTTTTAAACTAAATTAACCACTGAAGGGATCCAGGAAAGAAGTCATCCTTAAAACTAGCAAATTCTTGGTTCTAAAAATTATCCCTGAAAATACAGATTTTCAGACTTCTGTTTAAATGGAGTTTATACCTTACGCTTCTATTTGATTCCTTCCCGTAAGTTATTTTCTATTGTGGAAACATATTATGCTTCAGTAGAAAATCATAATAGTAAAACTATAGATTTATACTTAAGTCACTTTGTCAAAAAGCAAACTATGTAAGAATTATTAACTACATGGAAGGACATTACGTTATCTAGGGAAGGTATTATGTCAGTAGTATAAGGTTAATGAAGATTAAATTATTCAAAGATACTTTTACCTTCTTCATGCATTCTAAGCCTACTGCTTAGGAGAGCTTAGGAGCATACCTTCAATAACAAACAAGACATTCATAATAAATAATCCTGCTTCAAAAAAAATGAAGCATAAAGAAGAGAGGAGAGGGAAAAAGGAGAGAAGGCAAGGCTGAGAATTAATATTGATCACACGATCTTAAGTGCAGACTTCATTTTTTCCCCCCGAGAAAGTCTGAGATAGATTCTGAAATAGGCCCATTTAACAAGTATTTATGAAATGGACGGCTCTGTGATTTCAACTTCACTGTATTTTGTGGAAGCTTTAGGATTTTGTTATTGGTTATAATACTAGAACCAGAAAACCCGAGAGGCTTTATTTGTTTAGATTTATTTCTGGTTCCATCTAGTCTTGAAAGATGACTGAAGCGGCTCACATGGATTTTGAAAATTTGCTATGTCCATTTTCCTCTCTTGTCAGGCCAAACAGTAAATATTTATGGTTCCATGTGGTCCTTCTATTAACAGTGCGTGGTGCCTTCCTGTGCAAACTGCATTATTCAGTGCACTCCCTGACCTCGTTGTTCCTGGCTCTGCTAAGCCCTCACTTAGGCTTCTTATCCGTGTCCTGTGCAGGGAGGGAGGGGGGAGCGGGGGCGGGTTTTCCAACTGTTTGAAGCCAGAGAAGGGGCAGGATCAATAAAGTCTGGGGATAGAAAGAGCCCAGCCCAGACAGACAGACAGACAGACATAGTCAGTGGTTCCTGGACCCTTATGAGGAATGGTACTGAGGCCCCAGCAAGGTGAGCTCTCTCATTATTTGTTTGTTAGTATTCTGGGTATTTCTCTTAGCACATGCATGATTCTTGGCACTTATGTGTCCAATCTCTGCCTTCCACGCTAAATTCTATTATCAGATCTTTAAGCTGAGGC